TTTTTTTTTTTTTTTTTCGAAGAATTTGTGACGAGTCCAAAAGAAAAGTAAAGAAAAATACTTTGAAGTATTTAGCAATCGTTACCGCCACTCATGACCTTTGATCCCAATTGTTGTTGATTGTTGCCAAATAAGTATCGTACCTAGAACACGATGAGGGAGGAACCACCTCACCGGTTATTGTATTTTCCACCTGATCAGCATTGCCACGATATCGCTATTTTTTTCATGATTATTAAACGGCTGCCAGCATGAGGAAGATTTATGCACGCCACACTCTATTGGCGTTGCATCGAATAGTTCATCCTCGATGTAAACTCTGTATGTTATCGAAATATAGCATTACACACTTTCAAAGCGCGTGTCGTCGCTCGCCTCTCTTTGCCTCGTCTCTCGCGCGAGCAAGCATTTTGCACGGTGACTTTTCCCAGAGAGGAAAAAAAAACACACACACAAAATTTATTTAATTTATTAATTTTCGCGTAAAGTTGCACGTTGTTCTTCGTGCTTCTTTATCCTCGAGTTATTTTTCTCTGGCTTTGATCGCTTCTGACGAAGAGATACGTGTGCGCGCGTACGATCGAACGAGGAAGCGGATCGGTGGCGGAATTAAAGCCGCGTGTAGCACGTAACGCTTCTCGTTATTAGCCAAACTGCTATTTCTGGCAGTGTCTCGGTTTTCTAATTGAACTTGAATCATCGGAGCTTCCGAACACGTGCTAGTACGCATCGGTTGTTTGCTCTGCACGGAAATAGATCTGCAACGACACGCATCAGCTTACCGAGCATGCTCGAGTAAACTCGAGCTCTTTGTTTCACCTTGGTTGGTCAGTGACGCTCGGCGATAGCGAGTAATTAGTAAGAGACAGGGACGAGATTCGGCAGAGTTACTAACGTAATAATTTCCGTGCCATGTCGAGAGCAGCCTGGCCTGAATTCGCGGCTGCGCGAATCAAAGACCGCTCTCTCTCGAGAGAGAGAGAGTGACTGCCGCGAATAGTTTTTCAGGGAAAGGGTGAAGGATTAAACCTTTGGCCACAGTGTCGAATCAACCCTTACCTCAGCCAACAGATCGCTCCTGATCGGATTAATGGCGCTGTTTCTGCCGCACGCTCGTACACGCGATCGACCGCTGCCAACGCGTTGTTATCTCTCTCAATAGGCTGTGCTCAGCAAAACCAGACGAACAAAGTGGTTCCTTTCAACAGTGACGAGGACAAGATTCCCTATGCATTGCTTGTATCGTAGATCGAGCAGCACAAATGAACACAGGTAGGTGGACATTTTTTTTTTTTTTTTTTTTTTATATATTCTCGAAACTGAGCGTGCGAATTCTCGGCCTCAAAGTTTTCCGTTGGACGGAAAAAAAAAAAAAAGCAAAGACTTGAAAGAACTGTCTGAACTGTTTGGTCCAGTTTATTTGCAGCGGTTCGACGCGAATTATTAAAGAGCCGTTAACGAACCACGGTCGCGGTATTAAGCGACAAATTTACCGGATCCGCGCCGACCTCGTTTAAAATTAAACCGAAGCCGGTCGGTTTAATGGAAAAGAACGTGTTCTTACGTGGACGCTGAAAACCGATCCACGTAAGAGAATCGTCATCGGCAAAGATTCGTCAGCGAGGTTATTATCGTTCTCAAAATGTGTCAATGACACGGTGGCCGGCACGTGAATTATCAACGAAAACGCGATTATAATTTCTGATGATGTCGCGTGCACGTTTGCCGGCCTTCGTCCGTGCTCTCCTATGAATTTTCATTAAATTCGCACGTGCTCCAAACGAAAGTTCCAAGCATCCACGATACAACGAGCCACGAAATTATTAACTCTTTGCAACGCTTGAAAACGTCTAGATCTTTTACCGATCTGTCGACGAATAGTAAGCGAAGCATAACTTTGTTCAATGCGATCATCGCCAAGTTAGTCTGAATCTCTTGAAAAATCTCCTCCGCCATTTTGCAAACTTTCGCAAGAAGTTTCTAGTCCACGCGAATCGTTCGAACAATTCGATTGCCTTTTTTGAAATTCTGTTATTTCTACCAACACAATTATCAGCAATTATACAAGATTTTAGCCAAATTTACAATTTTTTTTTTTTTTTTAA